TTAAGGTCACATTCCTGAGGGTCCATTTGAAAGTGATAGATTCTGTGTTGTCACACACGAATAACTGAAGGTCTGCTTGTAAAGTTCACTTGCTGAACTCCTGCAAGCTGTAAAACAGAGTTTATGGGTTTGTGGTCCAAGCTATTCCTATTGCAGTGTATAGATGGGTGTTATTGCCTAAATCTAAAATGAGGGTTCTGCCTTGCTGAGCTGGGTCTCCTTGAAAATCAAAGTGAGGGTTAGTCACTGCCTGCCACAGGCTCTGAAGGCTGTCTGAGAGTAGATTTGACTTTATGTGAGAGCTCTGTTCTGACGAGGCAATTTCTTCACCTCTTTTCATTCCTAATCTTTTACAAATTTCTATCTCACGATCAACAAAGATTTCATGAGAATACCCAATCAGTTTCCAAAAAAGGCTCAATATGATGGTAGGATGACTGTTCAATCACTGTAAGGGTGACATTTGCTGCTTGTAAGAAACTTTCAGTGATTTTGGCCAGATCTTCTGTGTATTCCTTGCAGATATAACATAGGAAGTGCCACATGAAGGTTGCAAGGGCCTGGTACTCCTAGAACAGCATGACAAATGGCACCTGCTTCTCAGAGGCATCCAGCACCAGCAGCTCAGCCACTGTGGCCACCAGGGGCTGCCCATGTTCAGGGTGGGTTGGGGCTGGGACTGGAGCTGTGAGGACATTAACGAGTCATGTGACCTTTGTGGGGGCAGCCGTTGTGCCCGGCTTTCAAGGGCCTGGGGGCCGCTCTGAGTGGGCACCAGCCGATAGAGGAACTTTTAGGACGACAAAACTTTTAGGATGATATTCTGTTTGATACTATAATGGCGAATACAAGACATTAAGAATTTGTTGAGACCCATAGAACTTTACAGCTCAAAGACTAACCTTCGAAGTATGTAAATTAAAAAAAAAATCATCTAGGAGATTGAGGGATCCAGGATGGAATATGGAATGTGGCAAAACAAAAACAAAAACAAAACTAAATGTATTACAGATGTTTGAAACAAGCTACCTGAAGGGGATGGGGGAATAAGGTGCTAACTTAAGTAACTTTGGAAATGAATGGAGTCTGTGAGACTAACGGCTACAGGAACTGTACACTAGCACTGTACTCCAGTTGATAATGTTGTTTTCCACAGGGATATTGGTTAAAAGTTTTAAAACCACTATACATGTCTACAGAAATTAAATAATTAAGTAAATGAATGGCGGGTGGTTGAAGCCAGGTTTCTCACAGTTGGATTGGGAGGTTACAGACAAGCAAGGGAGGAGGCTAGTATGACTCACGGAGTAATAGATTAGAGTTGGAGACATCAGAATAAACTCATGCTTAGCTTAATATAATACATATGGTTACATATATTATAGAAATAGTACACACACACACACACACACACACACACACACACGTATGTATATATATCCTTGCTTTATCAGCTGAGAAAGCCTAGAAGCAAGGACACTCAGTAGCACTGAGAACACCTAGCACCTAGATCTTGGTTTCTAATATCATTCTTCAATAAAAGGTATAAGGTAGGGCTCCTTGGAAAAATGGCTGATTTTAGAATTGGAGCAGGAAATATACAAAATGATCCTGCAGCATCTTGTGGCAGAAAATAAGAAAAGTGCTCAGAAACCGAACAGAATAAATAAGTAAACAAAAATCCTGGATGCAGGAT